GTTGTTTTCAAACAAATCCAATCTTGTGCCAAGTGTTGCCAGCGGTAATAGGTGAAACAGTGAGTAGACAATTTGGAATTGTACTAGAAAAAATGATTAATTCCGCTTTACAAGAAATTAGACCAATTGATAATTATGATTAAGTTCCACCTTATATTCGATCAAATCCCAAGTGTTGGCCTTATTTTAAGGTAATCTACATAATAAATATTGAAATATCATATTTTATTTGAAAACATTATTCTAATTATTATTGCTTTATTTCTTCTATTTTATTTTCTCTTGATAGGATTGTATTGGAACAGTTGATGAGACATATGAACGACCATCACTTTCAACGAATGAGCAAATCCCCTCTATTGGTAGAAAGGGATATCCTAACCAAAACATTATGGCCGTGAGTAGTTTTCACATGCTATTCACCTCGTGTGGCCAGGGTGGGAAGTAACAGCACATGATATACGTATATTTTTGGAGGCTCTACGAAGCATTGATCTAAAATTTCCGAAACCGTTTGATGGTTTGTAATTTTTGTTTATAAATAATTTTTATATATTTTTGGTAACATCATGAGGTCTTTATTTTCTTATTGGTATTCGAATTGATAATTTTGCAGATAAATACTACTTTGTTGATGTGGGCTATTCAAACATCATGAGGTCTTTATTTTCTATTGGTAATCTAAAATTGTTGCATTTAAAATTATATTTTATATAGTTATTTTTTATTTAATCCGACCATATAATATATATCTATGTTTGACTAATACAATTTTAATATAATAATAAAATCAATATATTCTTATCCTCGAGGGTAAAAATAACATTTTTAATACCATAATAGCTCTTTTGAAATTAGTTGCCAACACTAACTCAAAAGCCCTGACTTTTGCTTCTCTTCTTCGATTGGTCAAAATGGGTCCTTTATTAAAGTGTGTGTGATTGAAAAGAAGAGAGAGAAAAATATATTTTAATTTTTAGAAAAAAATAATGATATTTAACCCCATTGGCCACTGAGGTTGTAACCCTAGTATAGCTGACAACAATGTGACATCAAATGACGAGTGAAATTAAATAACTCATTTCATTTCACATTTCATTTAACACATCATCTGGTGCTATCTAAATTGAAGTTACAACTCGAGTGAGGTTACATAACATTACTCTATAAAAAATGGGGATCAAATAAGGACTAAGAAACAATCAAAATCATGAGATTGAAAAATAAAGTCAAAACTATGCTACATCGATTTTGAGTGTTTTTCTGAAAATAATCCAATGTGCAAAAAGAACCAAAAGCATCAATTTTCCCAACTTGTACCTCCCAAAAATGGTAAAACCTGATGAAAAAACTCCCGGGGTCTATTATCTATTCAAAATTTCAAATCTAAAAAAAAAAAAAGAATTGTTGAAATTGAAAACATGAGCTCACGAACCCCTTAATTTTCTTATACTGGGAGCTTTATTGTAATATTATTCTTTTGATCCAATAATTTACATATTTTTTCTGGATTATATTCGTTGAATTATGAAGAATTTCGATGAAAATGGAGACGCAAGGGGTGGATTTCCATCAGAGAAGGACGGATAAGTGGCCCCGAAAACGATCTCGTTTAACATGGGAAATGCCTCCTGTCACTCCTCCTGATCATCACAAGGTCTTAATTTTTATAGGATTTTTCACAGTTCTTTTGCATTTACATAAAAGTGCAATTTTTAATAAGTTAGGGCTTTTAATTGGATGTTTGATATCTGCACTATTTACTTGTGAGTTAGTGACATTTGTTTATTTGCCATGTTGGACTTGTTCTGGATAATATGTCGCGATTATCTGAATTTCTTTACTTGTTTTCAGTTCAAGGTACCAGGGTTCTAAGATAGTTTCCTGTGTCTCTTCTACTGTCTTCATTAGTTTGGTTTTTCAACGATGAAGTTGTATACTGTCTTGATTTTGTTTTCCCATGGGTCATATAAATATATTTTGGGGAGAAATAACATGTTGAACTATTCGATATCTAAGTTCTTATAGGTTTGTGTAGATTTATGAGAAATCTTATGAACTTTTTTAAACCAAGTAATGCAAGAATGCTTATCATGTAGCATAATTGATTGAAGTGTTGAGATATTGAAGGGGTGGAGGTGAAGCTAATAAGACAAAGTTTGTTGTAGTTTCACACTGTAATCATAGTGATTGCCCTCATATGGAATAACTCTATGGTTACTGTGTAGTCGCGTGAAGACTGAATATTGTTTCTTCTGCAGATGCTTCCAACAATATATCCAGGGAAAGAGCTTGGGCCAGTTGCCAATTATGCATATTCTTCTATATATTACAAGGGGGTTCCCCACAATGTATCTCCACCATGGGGGCTGGATGACAAAGACGGTCACTATGCTTTTGCCATTTGCGAGAAATTAAATCCTCGTTGTAAGTGTACTTGAAATGCTTAAGGGTGTTCTTAGGGAGTGCCTTGAGTGATAATTCTGATTGTTTCCTCTGTAGGAGTTCCTTTAGAGCAATCTTATTGAAAGCCTTTTCTCTTGCTTTCATCTTTTTGGGGTGGGAATGCTTACTTTGTGATGCTAACTCTTATGTTAGATTATGTTGTCTGCATATAGATTAGGTTCCATTCAGTTAACACTCACCCCTCCAATTTAGCAAACCAAATTTGATGTGGTAATTTGTAATGCTTATGTACAAGAGGGGAACGACCTGAAACAATCAAGACCGGTACCCATCAGTATTGAAGAACAAAATCAGCCATCCAAAATTTTCAGTTCACAAATCGGTTTTATAATGAGAATACCTCCTTTTACTTTAAGAAACATCCAATATAAAAATCGGGAGCAGGTTAAGGCACACATTCATGTTTTCGTTCAGCAATTGTGCGGATAACTTGGTTCAGGATATATGTTGAAATTCATGTACGGTTGTTTTTATGCTGTCCTATTCGTGCACAGTACACTTTTTTATGTCTGGATTCAATGCTCATTTGTTTGATTATTTTATGCATAAGGTGTTTTTTATGATCAAAGGTATTTTTTTGGTTCTACCTCCTTGGGCTCTATTTAGTCCCTTTTTTCCTTAATTGACAGATAGAATACTCAGCAAAATGGGTGAAGGTTGGTTGTTTCTTCACTATCTGACCTTTCCCTCAGCTTCCACTTCTAGTTCTCATTAGTCATTTTATTGTTAGTAATTTGGTGGATCTTTTCCTATTTCTCTCCCACCCATTGTTTGGTTGCAGGGACTTTTGGAGAAGTCCTTGAATGTTTGGACAATGAAAAGAAAGAGGTTGTTGCAATTAAAATTGTCCGCTCTACACAAAAGTACCGGGAAGCTGCCATGATTGAGATTAACGTTTTAATGAAACTTGCAAGACACAACGTTTGTGGCATACTGTAGGTCTCTGCTTTCAGTTTGGCTTAATTTGTAAGTTGGAAGAAAAACTTGAAGTTGTTTTGGTTTAGGCACGTTCATTCTTTGCAGTTGTGTGCAAATACAAAATTGGTTTGACTATCCTAACCATATTTGTATTGTAAGTATTTGTTATAATTCATGTTTTCCTTAAATTTGAAAGGGCTATGGTATTACTCTTGCTCAAGGATGGATTTAAATGTCCAAGCTTATACGATTTTCTATGCAAAAACAGCTATCGTTCATTTCCCATTGATCTTGTTCGGGAGTTTAGCAGGCAACTTTCTGGAATGTGTGTTGACATATCTTTGCACCACTGTCTATATCGCTTTTATCATTTGTTAGNGTGCAACAAATAGGAAAAACCATGCATAGTTTACTGGTTTTTAGTGGTTATTTTTGCTATATGTGGGCGTTGTGGTTCTCCTAGCCCATTGGGCTGAGCCGGTTTGTGCTATCTTTATTTTTTAGCCCTTGGATATATTGGACGGTTGGGATTAATCTTGGATGAGATATTTTCTTCTAGGGCTTGGCTTAAAAACCCTTCTCTACCTCTTGATCTCTCTCTCGCCTCTCTCGACTCTCGACTCTCCTTACTGAAGTTCTGCTAGGGTTTCTTCTCCTCTTTTCTTGGGTGGTTTCTGTGGGTTTTGCTCTAGTGATTTAGGGGGTTTATAGTGGGCTCTATCAGGCCTGGAAACTGCTGTTTCTGGTGCTGCTTTCTTCTCTGGATCTGTGACTAGAACTGTGCAAAACTTGGGAGATCGTTTTTTCGATCGATGACCAGAAATCGAACCCAAGGTTCTCTCTTAACACTCCTCTGGATGGTGATTTGCGTGGCATGGTTGGGCCGTTCCTGAGCCTGCATTTCAGACGAAAACAGCAAGAAGAACTGGAGCTTTGACCGAGAAAGGGAAGGATCTTTCTGCCCCCTTTTTGTTATGTTCAGTATATGTTCTGTTTTCGTTTTCTATGTATTATCATGATTTCTTTATGTTGTTGAAATTGGTGATTACCTTCTGCTGGGGATTAGTTATTGAACTCTGTCATTGTTGTATAAGGAGCTGTTGAAACTCGGTCTGCCTCTGATTTGGGGTCTACATTATGCTGTAAATGCTTAACATAACATTTTAATGAAACTTGCAAGACACAACATTTGTGGCATACCGTAGGTCTCTGCTTTCAGTTTGGCTTAATTTGTAAGTTGGAAGAAAAACTTGAAGTTGTTTTAGTTTAGGCACGTTCATTCTTTGCAGTTGTGTGCAAATACAAAATTGGTTTGACTATCGTAACCATATTTGTATTGTAAGTGTTTGTTATAATTCATGTTTTCCTTAAATTTGAAAGGGCTATGGTATTACTCTTGCTCGAGGATGGATTTAAATGTCCAAGCTTATACGATTTTCTATGCAAAAACAGCTATCGTTCATTTCCCATTGATCTTTTTCGGGAGTTTAGCAGGCAACTTTTGGAATCTGTGGGATGTGTGTTGACATATCTTTGCACCACTGCCTATATCGCTTTTATCATTTGTTAGNNNNCTATATCGCTTTTATCATTTGTTAGATTTATCTAAAATGATATCCATTAGGCATCAATTGGCATTTAGGACTGTTTTTAATAATTACCTTATAGTTTACAGACTGGAATCTGTTTATTTCACATATTATCATTGCATTTATGCATGATCTGCATCCGATTCACACTGATCTGAAACCCAAAAATATTCTTCTTGTTTCCTCAGAGTGCATTAAAGTGCCAGATTATAAGGTGTTCTCATCTAGCACATTTCTCTTATTTATCATTTTTTTACATGATTTTACAATTGTACTCAGTCCACAAAAAGTAATGCAGTTTTCTCACGATTGGGTTATGTGGATCTGATTGCTTGTAGTTAGGATTTATGCTAGGCTTAGGTTGACTTTCTTGTCTTCTTTTTAGTTTCTTCTAGTTATATTCTTTTGGTCAATTTTTTTATCTGACATCATTTCAATTTGTTCAACTCTAATATGATAAAGTGTTCATTATAATATTCAATGAATGACCATAATAATTAAGCATATAGGTTCTGTTTTTGTCTACGTATTTGTTAATTAACATTCACCGTCTTAGTTTGTCATGTTATCAGCTTACTTCTCCAACCATATTTTTAATATGCTGNACATTCACCGTCTTAATTTGTAATGTTATCAGATTACTTCTCCAACCATATTTTTAATATGCTGATTGGTACCGACAGCAGTTTTTGTACTTCTGAATTTGAGAACTAATTATAGGTTTTGAAGCCTGATGATTTTTATTCCTCTTTTTTTTGTCTGGAATGAAGTTCCTATCCGGATCTGCAAAAAATGGTTCCTATTTCAAAAATCTACCAAAATCAAGTGCTATAAAGCTTATCGATTTTGGCAATAATACATTTGAAAGTCAGGATCATAGCTATGTGGTGTCTACACATCATTATCATGCTCCAGAGGTTATTTTGGGTAATTGGTGGTTCTTGCATTCTTTTGGTTGCATTTTTTATTATTTTCAGTTGGCTCAATGGCTTATTGTTGATGTTGTTTTATATAGGTCTTGGATGGAACTATCCTTGTGATATGTGTAAGTATAGGTTGCATACTTGTTGAACTGTGCTCTGTAAGTAAGAAAGCTGTGGGGTTAAAACACCAGCTTTGGACCAAGAAACCGGGCTCAGAAAACCTCCAATCGACACCACAAGAGAAAACCCAAACACCCAACTTCCAAACGGTTGCTCCACCCGTTTTTTCTGCCTTCACAGGTTTCGCGAATGGTGGGAGAGAGTTTTGTAA